ACAAACTTATTTGACAGTTTTGTGGAAGTTATGGTCATATTTTACGTTTACAGTTGTGTTAGTAATGATTTCCTAAAGTTAAAAGTGTTACTCACATGTTTTTCTCCGGACGGGCTTTTCGCTCCGTGTTTTTGAACATCTGACTGCCGCCGCGCGGTGCATGCTGGGATACTGAAGGCTGCGAAGAATACTCGGATGTGTCCTCCGTTCGCGGCCCCATCTCCATGGAAACAAGGCCGGTTTGAGGGCTGCATTTGAAGGCTGCATGACATAAAAATGAAATGGGACAGGCCTTGTTTCACCGGAAGTGACGTATGCGGCCTTAAAACCAGCCTTCGGAGGCTGCAGCCCTCGAATTGGGACACAGCCATGGAGTTTGTGTGGCGCACACCTGTCGTAGCTACTAGGCGTACGCACTAACTTACGACAACTCCTGCACAGTTTTTATAAATGAGGCCCCTGGTGTATATTTGTTGTAATGCAGTTACATTTGGGCTATAAAACATTTAATAATTGACTTCTATGGCTAATTATTTACCAGTATATATATATATATATATATATATATATATATATATATATATATATATATATATATATATATATATATATATATATATATATATATGTGTGTATACCAGTATATATATATATATATGTTATATATATATATTTTGCTACATATTTGTTGTAGTTGAAGTCTTTTAATGATACTGTCTAAATAAAATAGTTTACTATGATTATCTTGCATTATTGTTATTATATCAGTGGCATAAAGTAGTTTCATTATTATCATATATTGCAGTATACTTTTGTAGCGATATATAATGCTTCGAAATGTATTATCATAACAGGCCTACCACAAAATAAAAAACTAAAGTAGATACATTTTCTCAAAAGAGTATCAAAAAGTAAATACACTACAAATAATACTAAAGATCATCTACAATGTATTTCAGCAAACTTGTAAAAAAAAAATAGCACAACCAATAGCAATAAAAGTTTAAAATAAATCAATGCCTGTAAATTAAAAAGTCCAATTTCTCCCATGCTGCCCCTTCACTCTGCATGGACGATTCCTATTACCACAAGCCTTCTAACGTTATCCATCACTGACTCGCTGCCGAGGTCCTGACACTTAATTAGATGCCACATTTGTTAAAACTATATTTAAACCCCAGCAACAATTCACCTTTTTCACATGTTTCATTACAAGTTCTTGTCATTCAGTGTGTGGTTGCGGTACTAATTAAATCTCTGCATTATGTTGACTGAGTTAAATAAATAAAGTGTAGCCGGTCTCAAGTCCAGAAAGATGGATGTGTTTGGAATAGCCCAGCAAAAATTATAGCAAATCTTATGTTTCATTTTAGGCCATATAATTGAACAAACATACAGTGAATATGTATTTACTTAAAGAACACTGAATATCTGCATCAAAATGTATTTTGTAATGTATTTTGATACATGGTCCAATCAGAGTCTTGTATTATGAATATTTAAAACACTTTTACATCAAGTTGCTTTTAAAACATAGTATAGTAAAGAGTCAGACACAAGCATTGCATTTCATAGCACTAATTGGAGAAGGATAAATCACACATGCACTCAGGAGCTGTGCTTTCTCACTTTGTATTGCATTTTAAAGCAATTCCTAAATGAATTCCTTTGATTTTAGAAAAGTAACTGTATTCTGAATAGTAGAGTAACTGTGCCGAAATACAGTTCTCAGAATTAGCATTCCGAGTAAGTATTTTCAGTACATGTACTGTATTCAGTTATTTATATAACAGCGCAGCTATATTTTAAAAAGATAGGAATAACAAATCAACATCTGCTTTATCATGTAAATCAGTGTATCAGGTATTTATGAAGCATTGACTCCTTAGGGTTTAATGGTTGACTGCAGACAAAGTTAGAAGAAAAGTATTCGACAAAAGCTTAAATAGTTTATATTCTTGTATCAGAGTGAAGTGTGTGGGACGGCCCAATATCTCCTCAGATCTGGACAGTATCAGAGAGGTCAGACACTGATGAATGGGCCTCTATATGAAAGAGTACAGCCTTAGATGAGAGCATCGGGACAAGAGGCAAAGAAAATCATTCACTGTTGCAGGCTACAAGAGCCTGAGACTGCTGAGACATATGGTTCTGCTATAGTTGGAATCTGTTTTTATCAAAATGCCTGTCAATCAATTAAAATCAAGTAAAAAAAAATAAATAAAACTTCATAAATGAATAAATATTAACTGTCCAAAACAGCAATGTTTTATACTACTGTTTGGGTTGTGAGTTTATCAATAAGCAGTGGTGAAGACACATTTATTTTTTTATCTTAATATATAATTATATACAATTACATATATCTTAAATGTGAATTGTGTAACGTTTCTGGTGGAGGGTCCTGCAAGTTTCTATGGATATGTCACTGCTCTGCCTGAAATGTTCCACAATATGGCATTAAACAGCTCTACCTTACATTTATTCAAGGTGGTTTTATTGTTCAAAAATACTTAGAAAAACAGGCATTGTTTCTGACTGAAAATTAATTTCCTTCAGGATAATAAAGTAAGTCTATCCATCTGCCTACTTATACTCACTCTGACCTGTAACTTGGTCTGATTTGGTCTTCCATGGTGATAGAAATGCTTAATACCATACCATAGACAAAGCAATAACATTTCCATGGAGAAAGGCAATTGATGGATCCTCCATCAGAAAAGTTACACAATGCACCTGTAAATTGTATATATTATGTTCCTATTATGTGTAAACACTGAAAATTTGATTTAAATCGATAATTGATCAATTGATTTAACTTGCATTTGTGATATTTTAGATGTAAAATAATAATTTCTACATAAAAATACACAAATGGTTACCAATATGATACAACTGTGTGCCATTCACTTGCAGAATTTAGTTTTCTTGTTTTGAGGCTGAAAAGAACATGCTTATACTATTTGAACAACCTACATAAGAAACCCATACAATGAAAAACATGCCAGTCAGCCCACTTTGTCCTCATCCTGTCATGTGCTATTTTCTCATCTTCTCTATGACATGTAGAGCGTGCAGAAATGACTGCTTTATACAGCCCATGTAGACTGCTGTGGCGCTGTGTAGTCACCACCCCCTTCGGGACTGAATCCCAGGAGGCTCCCAGTGTCTCATGTGCTCCAGGATAGATGGAGAGCCCAATCTATCACCATCTCTGATCCATCCAGCTTTAAAAGGCCACTTTGAAATGGTAATATTACAAAGGTAGCACACACATTCAGGCAGTAATTCCATTGTTTGTAATATAGGAGCATAGGCATTGGTAATACAAATACTCATTTTTCTTTGGTGGGCTGCAGACCGAAAGAAGCATAAAAGCTCGTCCCAGCGGTGAAACCCCCTCGAGAGTGTGATTGATGGGGGATATTTCTCAAATATAGAAAAAGCAGCATATGATGGAGAATAAAGTCATGTGCGGTATATATATATAGGTCTAAATGACATATAGTAGAAAGAGTAAGTGATTTAGATGTAAAGAAAGTAGGCTATACAGCATTTCATGGTCATTCATTTGTCAGGTATATAGAGTGGCTTGTTATTTGAAATGAGCTGAAAGTAATTGAAGGCGTGCCGAAATGTTAAGAACAGTTAGTAAAAGATTTTCTTTTATTGAAGCTGTGGTACCATTTTCAGATCGTGAGAGGAGGAATTACATCTATGTCTAACTCTCTCCAAGCACTGGCACATCATTAGTATTCACATGCATGAATTTTTGGGGCATGTGCACAGATTTTTAACATCTTTTTCAGAAGTAAAGCACAACAGTAGTGGACCATAATTACACAGTCAACATGCTCTCATCCCAAAGTATATTTTAGAGATATATCAGGCCCTAAAGAGGATTTGCAATTGTTAAAGTCTGCTTGTAACGGACATTTACAGTGTACAAGAATATAGTCAGGTACCCCAGTTTTAAGACTGTTTATGACTCATAGGCTAACAGGACCAAACAGGATCAAAATGAGGTGAAAATGGAGTAGAGACAGCAGGCAAGTTTACCTCAATTATTTCTACCTAACACATAAAAACAAATAAAAACCAAAAAAAAGTGTACACTATTCAGCAAATCTTCTATTGTGTTTCAGAGAGTGAGAAATATGTTTAGAGGTGGCACAAATAATTGCGAAGTAAATAGATTCTGATGATGACTCTGAACCTGCTGCATTTCTCAAATAACAAACACTTCTACATTTCAAAGTTCTCAAAATTTTATGTGATCCTATGTTCATATCCAGAGTAAATTTGAAGATATTAAATTAGCTGAGGTTTTTGGGCATTAACTGGAGCTTCATTTCCCTTTTAAAGGTGTATTGTCTAAGTTTTCTGGTGGAAGGTCCGCCAACTTTTCTCCATGGAGATGTTCTTGCTTTGTCTGAAATGTTTCACAGCAATAATACTACCTGCAATTAAATAAACACAAGGAAGGATCTGCTTAATGTCATACTGTGGAACATTTGAACATATCCATAGAAACAAGATGGTGACAGACCCCCAACCGAAAAGTTACATAGTGCACCTTTAAAGTATGCAATTTACAAATACTTCTTGTATCCATAGTTGTTTTTTGCAAATATATGTGAAGTGTGCTCTTGCAATTGAAATTCTGGTCAAATCATAGACAAGCCACACAGCGCCCCCTATTTGCTGCCACATAAATTATTTACCTTTTTTATATATTTAAGATGATTCACTGTCATCTCTGGTACAGCTTTTTGAAACAGCATCAGTTTTTTCTATCACCCATCACACGCTATTGGGCCAAGTTCATCAGTAATTTGCCCAAGGACACTTTCACAATGGCCGACCCTGAGCACCAGCCTGCTGCAAACATTTATGTAATTCATTTCAAAAGTCAATTTCCACAAACCTCCACTGTCCATTACTTTTGCAGCACAAACTCTCCCACACACACAACCCGTATGCACGTTTTCAGTACTCACCCATTTCTCCGGGGGTTTCAAACTTAAACGCTTGTCCCAGGTTTTAAAAAAGCAGACTCAATCTCTTAACGTGGCTTTTGTGTCTGTCAAAACTGGTTGCCATGGTGATGGGTTTTGCCTTTGGTGACAGTTCTCTGCAACAAAAGCACATACACAAACATTATAATAGAACCAGCCATGACACAGCCCTGTGACCTCCCAAATGCATTTTCAAGAAGCAATATATTTTCCACTGATTTTGTCTTCTTTGTGTGAGGAGAAAAGGATTATACAGCCTTCAAAAGCTAAAACATAAGCGTCAGTTAGGGCTGCACAATGTAACCCAAAAATATTGATATTGTATTGGCTGATGCAATAACCCATATCGAAAGAAATAAAATATATCACAGTAAGACTAAGGTTAACTAAACATATTGTGTGAAAAAACTATTATATCACAAAACATTATTGTAATACTAAATAGTTGTCAGATATACATTTTTGTTTCATTGTGCTGCCCTAGCCGCAAATTCTGTGTAAATGTAGAAAATGGTGTATTGTTTTTAATTTATTTGTCCATTTGCTTAGAGAAAACATTGTAATGACTCTCTAGAGTACTACTTATCCTCTTTACTATTTACTCCAACATGTGTTGTATTAACTTTGATGTCATGCTACTTAGGTCTACATAACTACTTTTTTTCTATTTTACTTGCTAAGCTCAATATATTAAGTATATTTATCGTTTGTCAATTTTTTCAGTAGCTTTTTAACTGAAAAAGAGAGTGTGTTGACAAACCCACAATCATACCTTGAATGATAAAGACTACTACTCTTGGGTTTAAAAACTACTACTGTTGCCTTATTATTATTAAAATGTAAGACAAAACAGCATTGGAAATGTGGAAAGTCCTCAAAATGTCACACAGAGGATGAACAGAAATTGCAGGTGACTATAATGCCCCATGCAGTTTCATGTAAAATCTGTAGTACATATTAACGTCTATGCATCAACATCTGTTGCCTGTAACTACATAGACATACCGGCTTAATGAAGCTTCTTTATTATTCCCTGGACACCAAGAGAAAAGAGTGTTTTGGCAGCTGGGAGAACCTCCGCAAATGCCTGGCTCATCATTAGTTCATGCGTTCTAACACTAGAAAAACTACTGAAATATTTAAAGTTGTGCCAGAAAATCAGCATTCTCTGCTTTATGAAGATCATAAAAATAGTGCTACTTTTTTGTAATTTTCAAACTATCAAATGAATTGAAAGACAAAATGTGTCCTTTCTTGAAAGGTGACATTCACTTCTAGAACTTGACAATATCATAATTTCAGTTTCAGTTCAATATATTTTATAAATATGTTGAACGTTTTATTATTTCTTAGGGATTGGCTTAACAAACTTGCCATATAATCTTATAGCCTCATGAATACTGGCACCACTTTCTGAAAGAGAAGATGTTGAAATTCGTGCCAGTTTTTGCTTCATGTGGATAGGTCCAGTAATTACAGAGATTAACCATAAATTAGAGCAACAAATGTGCAAACTCTACCATAGAACTCTGATCTGTCCTCCATCTCAATTTTATGAAAAATATAAAATTTCATAAAAATGTCTAACCTTGCATTATTTGATCATGATTGGCTCTACAAACCTCCCATATTTATCTTACAGCTTCATTAATAATGGTACCACTTTCTGACAGAGAAGATGTTGAAATTTGTGCCCATTTTTGTTTGTGAATAGGCCCAGTAATTACAGAGATAAACCATGAATCTTAGCAACACATCTGCAAACTCTACCACAGAATTTTACTTCTTTATAAACATACTGACCTTGTCATTATTTGTTAGGGATTAATTACACAATCTTGCCATATTCATTGTATACCTTCATGTATAATGACCCCACTTTCAAGTAGGGAAGACAAAGAAATTTGTGCCAGGGTTAGTTTCAATTGTGCTTTTATAAAATTGTTCAATCTTTCATTATTTATTGGGGATTGGCTAGATAAACTTCCTATATTAATCTTATAGCCACATGAATAATGGCATCACTTTCTGACAGAGAATGTATTTGTGGCAGTTTTTGTGTCATGTGGATAAGTCCAGTAATTATAGAAATTAACCATAAGGGCAACAAATGTGCAAACTCTACCACAAAATTCTGACCTGTCCTCCATCTTTATTTTAATCTGTAGGTATAGCTGAACATAATGATGTCTTGTAAATACAACATATTCATATTTAATAATTGTGCTTTACATGCTACAAATGAACAGTCCACTGAACTTCTTGTTCAGTGTGGTGAAGATGGTTTTTACTATGCACCGATGCACATTGTTAAAAGGAACGTTTTCACTTCATTTAAAGGCGTAAAGAAAAAATGGCCCCTGAGCCAAAGGATGCATGTTAGATTAACCTTAGGCCTACGCTTGAGGTTGTTTCATAATTCAGTGGCCCAAACGCATTAAATAATTCTCTATCTCTCGCATCTAGACTGTATACGCATATTATTTAAATTTAAAAATAGCATTACTCTTTGACTTTTCTTCCCAGCTGATTGAGCACATCATCATGAAACAATGAGTCTTCACAATGGCCACTCTTCTAGAATACAATTCATGCTCTATGCTTTATAGCGTAATGCATTTATGGAACAATTGTTCTGCATGACTTCATTGTTTTGCTTTTAACAATATTACAAGATGAATGGCAACTGTATATTGTTATTATTATTGCACCATCTAAAACAGTGTCTATCTGTTGACAGCTCAAGGCTTCAATAACACTCTGATTTTCAAACAGAGAAAACTGCACCGGGGAACAAACACCTGAAAATGTTTTGATGTTATTGTCAATTATACAAAAGCTGCAGATATTAGCCTCTCGACGCAGTGTGTCTTATTCTCAACGGGGACTGGAGAATGAAATGAATCAAATTATAGGGTTATTGCATGTCTTTAAGACTGTTCTGAGATACACTATGCAGTGTCTTTGCTACAATATTGTAATGGCTCAAAAACATATGGAAATGAGTAGAAACATATCAGTATCAGTAAGACAATTTAGTATGAATATTTCCAAAGGCTTTGATTAGATACTGGAGTGCTTATTTATTCATTTATTTTTGGTTCTGTTAGCTCAAGAACAAGTCAGTACCAGTCTTTATATAATATGGAAAAATAGAGTATGCATTTGTAGTATGCACTGTAGCTGAATTGTGATTAATTGAATAAGTCACGAAATAAGATCCACAGTTGTTAGGAAAAACTGGGACCATATATTAATTGGAAATTTGTGGTAATGTACATACTAAGTAATTAGATCTCACTTTATGACTTAATAGTTAACCATTCATAAGTGGTTCCAGTTGTTATAATAAAGTTACTATATAATTTGAAATAATAATTTGTAAGTTTAGTGTCGCCATAGTTTCAGGGAATGTTAAATCGTATGTGAATCTAGGGCTGTGCCAAAATCAAAAGATTAATAGATCGCGATCTCTATTTTGGTCGATCTCAAAGCATACACATTTTAATCAACAGGTCTACAGTCAATCATGTGGCACTGAGAGCGAATAATGCTGATGAGGATTTACACTCTTGTTTACGAAAAAGTAGCCTGAGCCACAGCTGTCCCTTTTTTTGTTTCCTCACAAGTTTTGACTTAAATCTGCACAATTTGACTAAAGTCCGGTCTCTCTCTCCCTCTGCGTCTATGTGCGCACGGTGCAGTCTGACCACTCTCCCAGCTCCACTTCCCTCTCTCTGCTCCTCAGCTTTTCTCTCCCCTGGTGCTTCTCAGCTTTATAATCCAAGTTATGGAAAGTAAAACCACTACTGTCTCACTGTTTATGAGTGAAACGTAAGACCTCATTTGGAGCACAGACATCACACGTGTTTCTGTTGATAGAGGTAGCACATGTGTGCATGTGTGCCTGTCACTAGTGGTAACGCATGTATGGATTTAGGTTTAATATATTGTACAAACTTATTCCTTTTAAATGTGAATATCTACAGAATTATTAGTCCAATTAACACAAAACAAAAACTGTATTTATACCCTACTCTGTATACCTGAAGTATGTATGTAATTTTTTTTTATAATTAAAGAAAAAAAAAAAAAAAAGTGATTCTTTTTTTTTTTTTTTTTTCCCCCCATATCGCCCAGCAGAATAGGGAACTGGATAACACCAAGTCTTTGATTATTATCTAAACCAAAGGAGTTTCACATCTTGTACATGTATCCGTATGTAAATGTTTTGATTAGCCACTGAAGAGGAAGTGAACATCCAGAGCTGTAAAACACTCCACCAGTGAAGAACAGATGTGATTTGTAATGAGTACAGCTTTATGACAAGTCTGGCACCACTTCCCACAGTTGTACTTCTGAAAGAGTAGCTATTCAAACTCTGCCAGTTGGCTTCAATACATTTAGTAATGGTTTTTAGATTGACTAAACCTCCAAATATTCTTATCCAACACATAAAAGCTCATAGTAAGAAACTCTCGGGTTCAATTTATCACCATGTTCATGTTTAGAAATTTGATTAAGTTAAAATCTTACAGGCCTTTTTTTCTTTAAGTAACTGAAATATCCAACGAGAAAATTAATACATTTTAATTATCTTAGTTAAATTGGGTCCACACGATTATAGCTGCGTGCAAACTGTTGATATGGTCCTTATTTGACCGTATGTAGACTTGGTTTAGTCCTGTCCTAGTCCTGTCCAAATCCAAGTCCAGTCCAAATCTAACTCCAGGTTTGGCTTTATTACTGCAATTTTTTGACAATATAAAGCAGGGGTTTAACAACAACTGAAATATTGTGACACTATAGCATCTCGCAGTAATATCGTGGATGAACACAATATATCAAATTAAAAGCTTCTATGCTTAGATACATTGTTTTGTTCCAGCAACAGATTAAAAAAACAGAAAACTACAAAGACCATGATCTTGTGCATCATTTCAGTGCAGACAATATACCTTAATTTTTTGGAATATGACAGTGGTGTAGCACCAACGACTTGTCAAAGCTTTTTAAAAGGAAAAATAGCATTTCTTCAATTCTATTAGCATCTCCACAATATCGCAATAAATATCATACCGTATGCATATTTTCACAATATTGTACTCTTAGATTT